TTAGTACTAAAATGTAAGCTACTCAAGTAAAAATTCGCGAGCCCTTCGGCTGGAAGCGATCGGGCCTTCGCTTTACAACAGGTTTGTCCAGGTATGTTTCCGACATTTCGCATCGAAGTCCCGTGGCTCTCAAGTTGAGAGCAAAGCTGGCTTGCTATAACGACCATTTTTAGGTGGGTTCCAATTGTACGTCATAACGCTCACCTACCTTTGCTCGGGGATGCTATGCAAGAAAAAGTCATGAAAGTTGAAAGGACTACATTTTTTTTTTCTTATGCGTTTTTTCGCTTTGCACCGCACATGGACAGACGCCAACATTCGCTTCTATTGGACAATGGCTTGTGCCTGATGAAAAGCTAGAACTCAGCTTTCGTGGTCGCGTCTTGAGAGCGTTTCAGGTGGTTTTAGACGAGGGCGGAATGGCAGACGGACGCCAGCAATGGCGGATGCGGACGCGACACTTTCATGTGTGTTCTAATGGCACACGATGCCGTACGCTGGCGTGCATCTGCCCTCACAAGTTGCAGACGGTGTAAGATGGCAGACTAGAGGCACAAACGTCGCGTCAGTAAGACATTAGGCTTCCGGAAGTAATCAGCCGAGCAGCCAAGTTAACCTGGTTGTAACGTTCTGTGGGCAAGGCCAAAAGCGTGTTGTGAATTCCACCTAGATTGCGACTAGCGTCGGTAAATATTGCGCTATTTTTGTTTCGTGGAAATGATTTGATTTATATGTGTCCCATATCTAAGCCATTTAAATATAATTTCTGTTTCGTTTGAATGATTTTTAAGACCGTCCTACGGCTGTCCTATTGAGTGGCTACAAAACCATTTACAATTTACTCAACAAATCTTAAAATGCGTAATCAAAACTTGCTTTGCTAAATATTACGTGTGGCCTTCAGAAGTCTATGGCAAGCAAATAAATTCACAATTTAATTTTTTAATAAAATCATCAATGATGAAACATTGCGACGTGCTTCTAATGTTCCTCCTAATGGTAAGATGGTGATAGCTTTGCGTCGCGTACTGAGCATTAAAACAATTAAAATATGTATGCGAGAGCTTTTTTACAACTTTTTTCTTAATCTTTAAAAAATAAAAATACAATTTGTGGTAGAAACTGAATATGTTATAAAACACAACTTTTAGGAAAGTTCTCGTGCACTTTTGTAATATAATGCTGCGCAAAATGTGTAAAATAATCTCACTTTTAGCAATAATATTGAAGAAAAAAATATCAAGCATGTCAGAATATTTACTTCTTTATAATTATGTACTTATCGATAACTATAATAACTTGCCCTATAATCTCCAGAAACACAATAAATATATGTTAGCAAAATTAGTTTTGTTGAGTTTGGAGAAGAAAAATAAAAACGACGTCGCAATCATTACTAGTTTAAAAATAGGTACTTATCTATGACTATAATAGCTTTCCCTAAAAGTTCTGAACACAAGAAATATATGTAAGCAAATTTACATGCGAGTTTGCATTTTAGATTACATTTTTCAAACTTACCGTTGATTTTTTTTGTAGGACAGTTTTTTTAGAATTATGTTCTATTTTGCAAATACTGGTTCTAAAAAAAAGCCTAATATATTTAATTGGAGCGCGTTTTATATTTTTATTTGTTTCTCTAGCAAGCTTTTATATTTTATGTTTTGTTTCCAATACGGATTCTCAAAAAAACGCTCAGTCTACTTACCTATAACGTGTTTTAATGTTGCTTCTTCAGGTGTCCTCAGCAATTAATTTGTATGTTTCGTTTTTATTGCGGTGTCATTCCATGTCAAACGTCCCAGACGTTGCACTCGACCCCTTTAGACTTCTGAAAAAAGAATTCATGGCCTTTTACGCAATGTCCGTAGCCATGCCCTGAAATATTTTTTTACCGAAGAATTTTCTTGATGACGAGAGCGCGGTTTTAATTCTTAAAAAAACAGCGTGAAACTAGGCATCACTCGATAATTGATGAAAAATCAGCTTTTTAGGGAAATACCCAACAATATTTTTTCTTAAATTTGCACGGCTTTCGAATTTCGATGTGGTTAGGCTTGTAAAGTTTTGTTTAATTTAATATTTTTTTTAAACTAAAATCTTTAAAAAATTATCATTCTTGTTATTTTATCAAAAAGCATCTAACTTCTCTCGGGACTTAATGTAACTTCTTACCGTCTGCCCCGCCGATATATAATCTATAAAAAATGTTTAAAACCGCTCAATTAAATATCTCGCAGTAAACAAAAATCCTGAATTTGCAAAAAAAAGTGTGTTTTGACGCATAAACAGCCGTTTATTTCACCCTGAGTTGGTCCAAGTAAAAATATAAAATATGGTGGGTTTCGAAGACAATCGATAATCTTTTGATTTTGAAAGTTTAATCAAAGTAATTTTTGTTTAAAGCGAGAAAACATTTTTTGAATTTGAACTCTCGCAGCACAGTCCGGCGTCGCTTCTTAACGCCTCTTCGCCGCACAGCACGCCGCCTGCGACGATAGCTGACACGATTGGGTCCAAAGAAAGAAGGGAGTTTTCTGCCGCCTCCCCCTGTCCGTCTTTGCGGCTGAAAGGGAAGAAAAGGCGGGTATTGGGTGTAATAATCGGAGGTGCCGCCACCGCGTACCAATAGCAGGCCCGTTGTGCCCTTTGTGCCCCAGGTCGGCTCGAAACGCGATGCCTAATACGGGTGGCATCAGTTGACGTGGACTTCTCCTAAAAGGGAAACGTGACAAAATCAATCATTCTGCGCTGAAAAGCGGAACTATTCAGCGGCGCAAGAATTTGCGTTTCAAAGCCGATTTAAACACAAAAGAGGCGTGAGCCTCCAACTTCGCGCATTCGTTACCACATCGCCTCGTCGTATGATTTTGCCCGTTCACGGGGCTTTGTGTTACTGTCTACACCTGTCCTGACGTCGAGAAGAGAGAGTGATTGCTATGTGTACGTAAGAAACAGCTAGCTTACTAGTGGATGCTCTTACCTGGCAGCGCTAAGCATTTGCTGATATCAAGACAGTGGAAGTCCACAGGAGGACACAGCCGCGCAAAACGGTCAAACTAGGAAAAGCCATAAAGAGACAAGAGTAGAAAATAACCTCTTCCCACCAAGATGTACCCGACAACTGGAGGTCCTGCTTTTTACCTGCGTGCGCACAGCGTGACACCGTCGCACGCTCTGCCGGGCTCGACGGTGGCGTGCTGTGCAGAGAAGAGGCGCAAGGAACGACGCCAGGTTGCGGTGCGAAAGCTCGACTTCAAAATGTTTTTTTCCTCTTTAGAACAAAGTTACTTTATTAAACTTTCAAGAACAAAATGAAATAAACTCTTTTGTAGAAGTCACCATGTTACGTATTTTTCTTTGGGCCACCTCAAGGCAGAACTGACGGCTCTTTAAACTCCAAAACGCAGTTTCGCAAAAACTTTACTTTTTTTTTTCTCTGCAAGATATTGAGTTGTACGGCCTGAAACCTTTTTTGCGTACAGTATACCTACAGGACTGTCAATAAGAGTATTTACAGTCGCACGCAGCAAAGCCATAGTTTTTAACAAAACTAAAAATATGCTAGAATGCTCATATATTCCTTCTTTTTTAAAAACTGCTTCGAGCATAACAAATTCAATGACCACGATCATTATTACATAGCAATCTAAACACCGTAGGGTTTTTAGGTAAAACTATTTCAGTGTTCCGTAAAGAATCTTACTTTTCATCAATTATTGAATGTCTCGTAGTTCCACCCCCCTTCTACTCTTTCAAACCGCCATCACCCCATGAAATTTGTTTTTCGTCAAAGAAATACGTTAGAGAAGCACCACAAACGTTACGGTGAAGAGCCATCAGTTTTCTTTTAAGAATCAGAAATGGCCGTAGGACCTTTGGCATGTCATGGAAAAGTCCTGGTCACTTGAAGCCGCCCGTCGTTTAGGCATCGCATTTCGAGCCCCCCTCGGGTACAAAGGGCACAACGGGCCTGCTATTGCTTCGCGCTGGCTGCACCTCCGATTATTACACGAAACGCGGCCGTTTCTTCCCTTGCAGCCGGAAAGACGGACAAGGTGAAGCGGCAGAGAACTCCGTTCTTTCTTATGAAATAATCCTGTCAGCTATCGTCGCAGGTGGCGTGCCCTGCGGCGAAGAGGCGGTAAGGAGCGAAGCCGGATTGTGCTGTGAAAGTTCAGCTTCAAAATTGTTTTCTCGCTTTAAACAAAATAACTTTGATTAAACTTTCACAATCAAAATATTATCGACTGTTCTTCCAAGCCCACCATATTTTGTATTTTTACTTTGACCACCTCAAGGTTAAATAAGCGGCTGTTTATGCGTGAAAACTCACTTTTTTGCAAATACAAGATTTTTGTTTAGTGCGAGATATTTAATTGAGCGGTTTTAAACATTTTCTTTGTAGATTATATACCTGCAGGGGCAGCCGGTAAAAATTTTTATTAAGTCCCGGGAGCAATTAGATATCTTTTTTTTTTTATAAAATAACAAAAATGTTAAAAGAGTCTACAATTGTTTTTTTATATTTACATTAAACAAAACTTCACAGGCCCAAGCACATTGTGGGTCGAAAGTCGTGCAAATTAAAAAAAAAATATTCTTAGGTGTTTTACTAAAAAGCCTATTTTTCATTAATTATTAAGTGATGCCTAGTTTCACGCTGTTTTTAAAAGTTAGTACCGCGCTCTCATCATCAAAAAGTTTTTGGCCAAAAATATTTCGGGGCATGGCTACGGACATTTGCGGCAAAAGGCGACGGCTTTTTCTTTTAGAAATCGGAAGGGGTCGAGCGCAACGTCTGGGACGTTTGACAAGGGATGACCCTGCGGCATATCTGACACCTTCTTGATGGTCCAGACACTATGCACTGTCTGAACAAACTAGAACAAATACGACGATAAGTAGATCAAGTAGCTATTGTGCTTAATGTTAGTCATACTAACGCATAATTAATGAAGGCTTAACCCATGCTACCTACATGTCCTGTAGATACATACCATTTGGTGCTAACTTTCGTGGACCAAGACTGACGATTCAAGGAAAAGACGGTATCTCTTGTGTGGCTTCCTTTAATAATTTTGTTTGTCCTTACTTTTCCACACTTGAAAGGCATACCGGCTGGCGGCAATAGAGGGTCATCCCGAAATGTACCTCCGACTACGTAAAACTCCTTGGGTTCGAAGAATAACTGAATAACGTAAACATACGCAAGAGCTTTAGTTTAATGACTACATATTTATGCACTGAGCAAGGGTTTTAGTTCATCCCTTGCATTCCGTTCATCCCTCGCAATTCTACGGAAGTAGGAGAGAATAAAGCGCAAAGAAACACATGTTTCTAACATGGACATCGTCTATGTTTATTTGGTGATCTACGCGATTAAAAATATTTGGCGAGGGTGGCAGTAGAAGATAACACTGGGATGAATGATAGTAAGTTGGTGAAAAAGGCACAAAAAACATAAAACTTTTCTATTAAACTTGAGCAAAAAATGCAATATTCGATTTACAGAGAAGTTAGTCACGACAGGCACCGAAGGTTGCATTCGCAGGTGTATGTATTTATAAGCTTGTATATTTTATTAGAAACGGTCACGTAATTTAATGGTACACTCGGCGATACTGTTATCGCGAACAAACCGTCTCCGGATTTTAATGTTTTTCTCAGCATTGCAAGACTAATTAAAAGAACTATTGAGGTGCAAAATGCTCAGTGGGCGTGCTAACGTAAATGCTAAATTTGGATGCCGGCAACTACAATTACAAATTAAAAATTTTAAAAAGTGCCGAAGACCTGTTTGCGCTAAGAGTGTAGCGTGGTGTAGCGTTGTGTAGAGTTTATTTCCGCAGTCTCTTTTAACTGACCTTCCGTAAAACGGCAATTAATCAAATAAATAAAATAATTGATAATTTCGCATTAATCTTATATTTATATAAAGTATTCTGTGATTTCTGACAACAAATATATAAGTGACACAGTCTTGTGCACCAGGCTCATCATTGTACATATACACGTTACCTCTGATTCAGCAAGTTCCTGAAGTCGAATGTCGAAAATATTGAGCCAGAAGCTTTCTTTGAGGAGGTTTTACATGTTTATGGTTATTGTTGAATAATACGAACTTTATCGCACTGCCTTCCGTCAACTGAAAGAAACTTGTATTATGTTGACTTCTTCCGCATCCTGCCTTTTGCTCTCGTGGAACACATGCAACATTTATGTTTTCAATGCTATGTCAGTCTCGGTCGAAAATTCAAGCATTCACGATATATTTGGAACTACTTTAAAAATATAGTTTATATCTGAGCCGCATATTTCGTCCGTTAACGAAAAAAAAAAAACTTCTACCACCTGGAGATAATGATTTTTAGAAAAAATATGTACAAAAATAACGAAAATATATAAAATTTCTCTCTCTCTCTCTCTCTCTCTATATATATATATATATGCGTGTGTGTGTGTGTGTGTGTGTGTGTGTGTGTGTGTGTGTGTGTGTGTGTTTCATTTTTTAAACACGCGTTGACTAAAGTTCAGGGCTTTGTTACTTACCAGCCTAATGGCATGTGAGACGTGATATACATACTTTTCAGCTTTCTTAATATTAGACTTGACTGAAGTTAGCGTCAACGCAAGACACAATAAAACGGCATTCATCGTCCATGCCATGTGGTCAACCAGCGGACAAAATCTATATGTTAGCAGAACATTTTATTAAGATTCAGTAAATATAGATACTTCAAAATAATTCCAATCGCGTTCATTCTGTGAATGTTCGAAAAAGTCCGAAAGCCTTTATTATCAACATAAAGAACAAAACTAAACATACAAAAAGCACTGAATGCTATAATTACTTAAATTTTGAAAGCAAAAACAACTATGTGAAAAATGCGTGGACGATAGTTATACCCAAACATATAAATGCTTCAGTAAACATTATTCGCTGCAATGAAAAAAAACAAAGCACCGTCATACTATAAAGTCATTCCACCGTTTCATAATGCTTCACAAGGATTACCCCTGAGAAACCTTCGAATCCCTGTGGCGCACAAAAATAAATCGGTGAAACACGACGCAAAAAAGGAGAGACATTCTGTAAAAAACAAAGTTTTCTGAAATACCACGGGTCATGAAGTTGCATGCTCTTTCTCGATTTCATATTGCGAACTGGAAATAAGGTTTTCCGAAATGCCTAAATGCCCTTTTGTTTGCGTAAAGTATTTTAATTCGCTTGCACCTTCGCATTAATTGGAGATACATCATAACCTTAAAATGCAGGTTGTTCTCCTTTGTTGGTGCTAGACCAGTGGCTGCTGATAAAACCCGTTTGCTCTACTGACATCTTACTCCCGGTTAGCTCAGTTGGTAGAGTGCTGCACTGGAAATCCAGAGTCGCTTGGTTGGAAACTAGAACCAGGCAGATTTTTCAGTATCGTACCAGACACTGAGCCTAGTTTGGAGTTTTCTGTTTGTCCTCTTTCTCCGTTGCTCGCCTACTCCAGGGATTATTATCGTTATTCTTGTGCAGCTCGCTTGCACCATTACATTAATTTCAGTAACTCCAAACATTGTTGTACAGCCCTTTAAAACATTCGAGTAGATATTATTTTACAATTTATTGGGCTTTAAATAATAAAAAAAAGGATAGTGCTTTAGCACCTACTTTTAAGTGCACCAGAAGCAATATAAATTGTTAATACAAGCCTTTGCAAAGTAATGCAGTATAAAAATTATTTGCAATTCTATATCTTAAAACAAAACTTCATGCATTTTGTTATGATATTTACCGAATTAGTTCGCGTTTCGTTGACATTAAAAATTCGTTTGTTAGACAATATATTTGGCGCCCTCCGCAGTGGCGCCGCCCAGTTATTGTGCTCACTACACTCCAAAAACCAGTCAACAAGGAATCTGTGTAGCGGCTAACCCTCCCCCCCCCCCTTCCCGGCGAGCAATAGAGCAATTCCCCAACTTCTTGCATGCAACACGAGGCGCATTGCATTATTGGACCCTGTTCTCCACGGTGAGGACTGGGATGGGGTCGGTTTTGATCGCCCTGTTGGCAAACTAGCATATCTCAGGATTGGATGAAAATTAAGTTAGCGCTCCTTTGAATTGCACCCATTCATCGTGGTGGAAGCCCCCGTTGAACTACGAGCCTCCAGCAGCTCTAAGGGACTGCCTAGGCTTAGAGATAAGCAGGAGTACGGCCTGTCACATCCCAAACTTCTCTCGCGGCCCGGCTACCACTCCAGAGTATAGCATGACCTTTCCGGGTCACAGCCAATTTAAGAAGCCTAGGGCATTGAAGAGCCGATGAAGCAGGATGACCGGCCAGTATCGCCCTTTCTCGCGTGAGATCAAATGCGATGGCGGTAGTGTGAAAATAGCCCTCAAACGCTTCCGGTTCTGAACTAGATGCCAGGTTTCGCAGTATCTGCGAGATCAAATCTTCGAGCTATTTTTGGGAAAAAAGTCGCTTATGTCATTGTCATACATGATTCACTCTTATGGTGAATCACTGGCGCGTAAAAATTTTAAATATATACCTGGACCGGAAGTGTGCCAGGGCTACCCAATAGATGGCATCATTGAGTTTCTTGCCAAACTAAAAAGAGCGTCCTGTGTTTGCTCGTGGAGAAACTCCGGCTCGTCGGGAGCCCCCCAAAAAACGTGCCCTAGGATATCATCCGTCTTAGTAAGCCACGGCTACCCAAATATAAAACTTAAGAAAGTCGCATATTTAAAAACGTTTAGGCATTGTAGTGGGTCCTGACCTGAGGTCACGAAGTGAGGTTTTCCAAACGAAACGAGCTGAGTAGACAAACGGTACCGAGGCATGACCTTTGAGTTTTTTGTTGCGCCATGCTCCCCACGTGTGCCCCACGTGGGTCACAGGTGGTCAAATTGCGCTAGAGCCTACAATACCCCCGAGAGTCCCTCGTCGATGCGACGTGCGCGTCCACAATTTGGGCTGCCCATGCAATGCCCCTGTATGTGCGAACTCGGTTATGCCAAGACAAAGTTAGCGCAAATGTAGGCAAAACGAGCGTAGGCTAGCAATGAGCTGCAGACAGAGTACCCCGATGTGTTCCACTTCGGCTACGCGTGGGCATGCTCAACTTGGGCTACCAGCGTAACTCTCCGTGGGTCCCACCATAGTCGTACGTAACGTACCTGGTTACGTATTTCTGTAACGAGCAACGTATTTATTTACGTTCCTTTTTTTTTTTTTTTAGAAAAGGAGCCAGTAACGTACTTAGCTACCCTCAACGCCGACGAGCGAGTAACAGCATTTGGCTTCATTTTTGGAGTAACGTGTGCAACACCGTTTAAGCAGCCTTGTTTTAATCCTGCCCTGAGTATGCGTCCACTGCGACAAAGTCAGATATGAAACCGAAAAAAAACAACTAGACAGTATGACGTTATCGCTGAACACATTCGGTCGAACTCTACAGCTGGGAATGACCTCCATGAAGCAAACACAATAAGCTTCGCTGGGTGAACCTTCTTGATGTGTGCAGACCGAATGTAACCCTCGAGGGTGTCCAACACGGGAAGGAACACAACCCATTGTCAATTTGAAACTTTGGAAGCAGAGAGAACAAAAGAGGGATGAGATTCCGTGATTCAGAAGCTCTTACTGAAGCGCAACGCTGCCGTTTCTTCGAGCGCGTGAGTAGAGCGACTCAATAGTCGTTCTACTTACGCGTTTGCACCACGTGCATCAGGCGCCGGATTCGTATTATCAAGAAAACGGGGAAACATAACCGATGAAATCTTCGAGAGACGTCTACTGCTTAAGTGCCGTGACTGCTTTAAATATTACAATAAATCATCAAAGAAAAGCAAGTGCGTATTTGGTCATGAAAGTAACGAGAAAAGTAACTCCTTAGTTTGGAGATCACGTAACGCGTTTATTCTCAGAATGAATCCGTAACGCGCAAGGTATTTATTCCCTTAAAGAGCTATTAAACAATAACGGTATTGATGAAATCTTCGATGAAATCTGTGGCAGCCGGCGCAGATTTCATCGAAGAGACGAGCTACCGGATGAGACCATATCTCCATACGTTGCAGCACTAAAAAAACTTGCAGCAGATTGCAATTTTGGAACGGTAGAGCCGGCTGCGGCCAGCACCTCTACCGCTAATCTGCCAAGCCTTTAGAACGCCATCGAATCGGCTGGAACCGCGGCAAGTGGTGCGACACCCACCTCAGTCAACGCTACAATGCTCCCTATGAACATTATGCTTCGCGATCGTTTTGTTTGCGGGCTTCGGAACGAACATTTGCAACAACGCCTCTTCACAGAAAGGAACCTTGCGTTCTTCACGACCTTTCATATAGCCCTACGAGCGGAGAACGCCAAGGACCATCAGCGACAGATTAGGCAAAACTTCCAGGAAGTCAACAAAGCAGAAAAATCACGTCTGACACACCGAGGGCTCGACGATGCCACCGGAACTTCATCAACGCCGTGCTATTGCTGTGAAGAGGTCCACAGCCCGAGTTCATGCAAGTTCTGCACCTCGCAGTGCAGGTACTGCAGGAAGGTGGGTCATATTGCTAAGGCTTGCATGAAGAACAATAATGTTTCTGGCAAGAACGCCGTTCACATTGTTGACCCACAGAGAATTTCAGGCTCGGCTGCTCAAGGATCAGGTCAGTTAAGCTCACTGCACGATATCAACTGGATGTGAAGAGGGCAGACGACAACAGAAAATCTCGTGGTCAGCCTCTATGTGGAAAGTGTCTTCCTTCGAATCGAGGTGGACTCGGGGGCGGTATGCTCACTCATCAGCGAAGGAAGGTTTCACGCAGCTTGGCCCAGGCAACCGCATCAGTTCTCATGTGATAGCATGGCCCTGCGCACCTCGTCGGGTGAACGTCTGGAATCTCTGGACACAGTAGATGTGTGGGTACTGTACAAGAGCTTCAGAAAAAAGTTGCCGCTCCTCGTGATGAGATGTCTCGGCTGCAATCTGCTTGGCCGTAATTGGTTTGAACCACTTGGTATTGAACTGAGCGGTGTTCATTAAATCTTGCACGATAAAAGCTTGATTGATACCCTTGAAAAATACGCTCCAATTTTGACGGTGACTTTCACAGGTACAAGGGTCCGGCCGTAAGTTTGGAGCTGCAGGAAACTGCTACGCTTAAGTTTCTTATAGCGCGAACAGTGCCGTTCGGACTGAAACCAGCGGTTGAAGTAGAATTGCAGCGCCTCACGGACCAAGGCACCCTGGGGCCGACTCAACACTCAGAGTTGACCACACCTCTCGGGGTGATCCGGGAAACTGACGGTACAATTTGACTATGCTGTTACTACCGCAGCACAATCAACGCCATCACGCCCAATTCTGCGTACCCTCTATCAACCATATCAGAAGTACTGGCAAAGCTGCGTGGAGGCAGGATATTCTCCACGTTAGATCTTGCACAAGCTTACCAGCAACTCAAGGTCGCCGAGAGCACTGCTGACATATTCACGATAAACACCATCAAGGGTCTCTATCGGATCAAGCGCTTGCTCTTTGGAGTGTCAGAAGCACAGGCAATTTTTCAGCGGTGCACGAATACCACACTGGCAGGGTTCCCAGGTGTGAGCGCCAACCTCGACGATATCATTGTCCGTGGCCCCACACCGAAGGAGCACGCTCAGCGTC